TAACCAATTTGATATATATATATAATTTATAAAGCATTTGCCATCATGTGACGAGCATTCATCTAGTTATTGGCACAAAATGCACCAAATATCTTCCCTAAAAATATAGTTTTACATCATTAATATAGTATTCCATGTATAGCTAATCAGCATTTATGATGATTAACCATAGCATTCAAGGTTGATGACACCTTATTTTGATTTATGGTGCAAAAATCAAATTGAGTGTATTGTGTCAATGCACTATAGAAAATTGTTGATCTTTATATCTTCCCAGCTTGATTTACCATACACAAAGGTATGATTTAGATAAATAACACTGATTAAATAACTACTGAAATTTACCCCCTATAAAAAAAACTGAAAACTACTTTGAAATGATATTATATTTTATCCAATGAACTTTCAGAAAATATTTTCTATTTTTATAACTACAATTTTTTAAAATTTGAATAGTAAGGCAGATTTTACTTAAATTGGCAGAATCATTTGTTTTACCACACACACAGTGTTTTGTTGTTGTTTTTTTAGCAGAAATACAATAGATAATAACACGAAACTAAAAATATATATATATCTAATGAAAGTGTGTGTGGAACATGAATGTCAAGAAAATATAAATTTGTCATATGTAATGTTCACATATTTCCAGAAGTCTAACCACAATTATTGTTTATTGAGTAATAAAACTACACATTGAACATTAATGTGGTAGATATTTTTAAAAATTTAATTATTTTTTACAGGATGATCTCTGAAACATTAGACTCAGAATAACTTATTTTTCCGAAAATAATATAAACTAAATATCAAATTATATCTAATGCTATATAATCTTTGATAAAATTCTAAATGAAGGCATTGCACGATTAAGATAATTACTGTTTAATAAGACAATACAAACAACAAGATATATATTAAAATGGCTCAGCTTTAAAACTGAACAAATAAATAACTTTTAAGTAGTATTCACATAATTTTTCTTTGTTTTTTGAGTGAATTTTTACAAGATATTTAAAACAATTTTTACAATTACTACTATATTCTGTTTCATAGATTTCCTGCAGAACAAGAGTAGGGTCTGTTTATTTCCTGTATTCTGTCTGAATGAGTCTGTCAATGAAGTAACAGTCAGTACAAAAAAATAGAACAAAAACTTTTATTACTTAAACACAAGTGAAAAAGACATAACACAACACAAAAGCAAGCGTCTTTGTGGATGTTTTGAGCCAGAGAGAAATGGTTGTAAGAATCTTTAATGTCTCTCAAACTAGACCAATGTGAGCCCCCCATGAAAGCTATACTAAAAGAAGAAATTAAAACTAAATACAAAACCTTAAATAGTAATTAAAGGTTAAATTTTTATATCTCCGAGAATATATTATGTAAAAAAAAAGCTACTAAAACCTCATGAGATCTTCAAGTCTAAATCAAAACTCTCTATATATACCTACATAAGAGGAGAGAACCTAGCCTTAAAAAACAAAAGAAAATAACAATAACAAAGCCAGATTTCTCACACTTTGTTCCTTTTATATGTGGCCTAAAGCCTTAACCATTCAAGTGTAGAACCATAAAAACCCTGGGTCATTACCCAAATTGTCAATAGAAAAGACAGCTGTGAAGTAACAGCTATCTTCCTTTCAAGAGAACATGCTAATAACCAATTAGCAGATTCAAGTTCCATATGCAGTTAATGTAAGAATGAATCATGTTGTGTATTTGAGTGTAAGCCATGTTGTGTATTTGAGTGTAAACCATGTTGTGTATTTGAATAACTCTCTGCATCCACAGTGAACAAAAAGAAAGTAGAATTTTGAATAAGTTACATATTAATTAAGGGGAAGCTAACACATACTTTCTTTGCATTTATTTCCAGGTTCTCTTTAATTCTAAAACTACAAAAAACAATTAAACTTTAATGTTGCTCAATAAATCAAAATAATTTACCCTTACCCCAGTAAAACTGTCTTCTCCAAAATACTAACAAGTGCAAAGCCAAAAACAACTGTACAATAAATAAAATAAAATATGTCACAGAAATCAAAAAAGGGTTCTCTAATACAATACAAAATAACAAAACCCTTTTAACAAAGAAATACATACAATCTATCAATTTATAGATGGGTTATTCTAACACACTATACAAAAACAACTAATAAAAAATCCTTTAACAAAGAAAATAGTATGAAATACACAGTAGTCACATAAAAACAAAAACCCTTAATACTAATCAGACTAAGAAAATTACATGCACATAAGGCAAAAAACAACTTTAAATTTTTCCAACACATGAAATTCACCATAAACCTAACAATACAAATACAAAAAACGAAAATACATGCATACACCTTAAAAAAGAAAGGAAACCCTTACCACTAATTACACAATTAAAACATGCATATATTAACACTATACAAAATAAACTAAAAAAACTTTATAAAACATAAAATATAGATATACATATACACACACGCACATATATATAAAAATCATCAAATTACTAGACACAATTTATAGGGAGGCTTATTCTCCTCCAATCCACCTGATAGCTTTCAATGCACATGGTCTCTGGCTTTCACAAGAGCCTTTGGAGTTTGTGTCAGCTCTTCTTGTAGATGATGCACTTCTTCCTCCAGCTGCGTTCATAGTTCTCCAGTCTTCCTCTTGATTATAGCTATGTCCACCTGGCTTCCTTCTCTTGACAGTGGCATTTTAGAATTATGAGTTTCTCTCTTACATTGGTTGGGGGCCTGGTGGAGAGCTCCAATTTCTCTAGCCTCATCTCTGAAGCTTTTGGATGAGCTATTGCTGACACTGGTGCTCTCATGATGATGGACCATCATCTCAGTTGTTACAGTCACAGCTGGTGTGGTGGTGGTAGTGGAGGTAGTAATGACCACAGTTGTTGCTGCCTCTGAGGTTGTGGGTTGTGAGATGACTTTCCTACTTTGTAGATCTGTGCTACAATCATAGCTCCAAGAAGGTCCTTCCAAAATGACGGAAGTGGTAGTACAAATGGTTGTGAACACACATCATATGTTAATGACTTTCACAAAGTAACCTCCAATGGCACTCTTGAAGCTTTTCTCCTGGTGTTCTGACATCACCATCATCTTGGACTTAGCCTTGATTAGGTTCTTTACACTCTGAGGTGATGGATACATTATTAGCTTGGTGGGCCGAACAGCTGGCATACTGGACCTCAAGGGTTTGTCTGAGCCCTCAGTCATCTGTTTCACCACAGGGATTATTTCTGGTGAGGTGACAGGTGGTAACTTCTGATGTCCTAGAGCTCATAGAGATAGCCCATCTGTAGTCTTAGGTAGTCTGTACATCAAGTACATTGTTTAATAATGCATCTTCATCCATCATCTACGACAACATATGTCTGTAAAGTCTGCTCCTGAAGTTGTTGGCAGTGATAGAAATTCCAAAACACCTGAAAAATAAAACAAAATGCTCTTATCAGTGGTTTATTCCATCTTCATAATGCAAGATACAGGGTCTGGAAAGCAAAAAGAATGTCATCCACAACTGGCTAGTTGAAAAAAAAAAGGAAGCCAAAAAGGGGACATATTATGCTGGGAATTACCACAATAGCTACTGTCAGCTTCCTCCTCTCCTGTAGTTTATCTGAGGTGATCACCTCAAACCTCATTCCAGCATATCCTGCCTCTATCAGGGTACAAATATCTCATACCCTCATGTGGTTCCTCATGGTCTCTCTTCATTGCAGTGTATGCTTTCAAATGAGAATGGCACAAATCTTCCACAAAGTTACTCAAGTTCTTATAGAACTTTTACTTTGAGCCTTGAACTCGGCCTGGTAGATGGCTCATTTTCTCAACAAGTCATACTGTTGGCACATCTTGGCTATGACTGTTTTCAGGTTTCCAAGCTGTGTTTATTTCAAGTACTAAATGGCATCAAAGGCTAGACCATCTAAAACTCAGGATCAAGCATTGCATCATAAACAAGCTCAATCATCACAATGTTTGTTTTTCAGTGTAACTGAGTGGTCGCTACATGTATGTGTTAGCTGTACAATAGGGTTATTGTAATAAGTATTAACTATAGCTATAAATTCACTCTCATCAGCACACCAACCAGACCACAGCACAAAATTACCATTATAATAAGCTCTGGATTGAAATTCTAAAAACCAATTGTATGACGACTTTTATTAGCATTAGCATGTAATGTGAACAACATAAAAAATATTTGTATTCTAGAGGACTTATGTTGACAAATCAAGAAATTACAAAATTACATTGTCCATCAGCAT